GGAGGAAAGTCAGGCTGGGAGGCAGGCAGGCGTCCGGGCGGGGGGCGGCCTTAGTTGGCTCTGGGTGCCCAGACTGCTGGGTCAGGCGAGGTCGCGGCAGGAGGGGGCTGTGGCTCCAGCGGGCGCGCTCTGTGCGGCGCAAGCTGAGTCGGGGGCAGCACGCAGGGGCTGCAGGCAGCACCGAAACGCCCGAGGCGCCCCGGGCCGTAGGGGGGCTGAGACAAGCGGGCGGCCAGACCTGCCGAGGAAACTAACTAAATAAAAAGAGACTGTTATTTAAGGCGCGGAAATTTGAAATATTTGGACAGGAAGAGAAAAGAAAAGAAACCTTAGCGAGGGAGGAGGAAAAAAAAAAAAAAAAAACGCGAGCTAACGGTTTTGCAGCTCCCCCACCCCCACCCCGGGCTTTTCTGCGCGCCCTAAGGGAGCTTTGGACTCCAGCTTTCTTACTAGGGCGCCGGGGGCGAGTTGGAGTCTGGAGAAACAGTTTCAAAGGGACAGAAAGGATGATGTCTTCGCAGCCCCTCCGTAGAGGGCTTGGGTTGGCTATGGGCAGAGCTTTACCCCACGTCTCAGGCGACAAGTTTGTCTCCTGCCTCTCCCTACGTTTCTGCGTGGATATGTTTTCATGGAACTGCCATGTAAAAGCAAAACAGTCTCCAGAGACCAAGACAGGGACTTTCCCCTGTAGCCTTTTGATGAAGGTTGCTTAGGGCGACCTGGAAGGCTGCGAGCACGACCCTTTCTCGTTCCAACACTGCGCTCTTCCAGCGCTGCTGGACTATTACTTCTATCTCCAGTAAAAGCCGAAAGCACCTTTTTGGGAACTGAGATTTCGAAAGCAGTCCCGAGCGACCGATTCCATAACGTTCGCTTCATCAATTTGACAAGGGAAATTTATCCTATTTCTAAGTGAATTGCTTTCCTGGGACAGAATACTTTATTTTTTAGCCAGTCACCCAACGTGGTGTGTGTATACATGGACTTATCACACCGTTGCGAGATGCCTATTATTAAACTACCGATTCACTGCCAAAATATGACAGAAAGCACTTTGCTTAGTGGTTCGGGGACCAGAACTTGGACTGAGGTCCTGTTAGTGTCCCCCTCCCCCAGGCGTTAAGTCTGGATTCAGATTACCGGGCAAGGGCTGAGCCTGAGTTTCCCGATGTGGAGATGTGGATGCGGACGCAGTGAAGGAACTGAATTTGAGAGAGCGCATCTCTCCTCTGTATTCCCCATTATTTCTATTAGTGTCTCCTGGGGCTTTGGACACTCAATTATCACTTGCATCCCTACTCTCAGCATCCGAATAAATTCAGACCCCTCCCCACCTCAGCTCGCTGCAAATTAGACCCCATTAAACTCGGCAGCACCGTTTCTTCCACCCTATACATTTTGGCATATTCAAGAATCTTACTGAATATTGTCGAGGTTTTGGAGAGACTGAATAATGGCTTTTCATAGTTCGTAGAGGGGACCACAAAACTCATTTCTAAAATACTTAGATTAGTAAAATTACTTTCTTCGAAGAGCCAGAGTAATGTGGCGATGTTCTAATGTCTAGCAAATTTTAGGCTGATGAAGAGATAGAGCTTCCTCTCCCCCTATTGTGCTCCGACCACCCGAGAACAAAGCAATTGCAGAAGTACTTCTCTTTTGCTTTATGAAAATCCTATGCCTTTATATTTGAAATCTCTAAAGGGAAATTTTATTTTATAGAATAAAGTAAGTGCTGAGACATGGTGAATACTGTAAAGTCCATTAAACTGGATTTTAAGTACAGATACGAGCATCTTTACAGTTGCAACTTGTAAGAAGGGTTGTTTTTATTACTTTCAGTAATGGTATTGTGTTTAGAAAAAACTCGGCTTACTAATGCAGTATATTATATATATTGACTGTTCCTAAATCCAAAATACAACATTTTCTTTCAAAACCGTCTCAATTTCTTTTTTCTAAAGAAATAAATGTTTTAAGTTTAATTTCATGTTGCTATCAAAAATAAATTTCAGTAACTTGTGGTTAAAGGTAGCAGGAGTAAAACTTGTTGCACTTAGGGAATGTGAATTTTAGTGCAAAATGAAATGGATTAAGCTTTTCCTCCTATATTCTTTTATACTATCAAGGAAAATAAATGATCAAAAACCACTTCCTGCAACCATTCCAATCCTTGTTAGGGCAGGCATTAGAACCATGTCCTTCAATAAACCTTGAAGTATTTTGTTCTTTTTGGAGAAAGGGCAGTGAGCTTATGAAGCAGAAGGAGGGGACTTTCACATAAAACATCTTTGTTCATGTGGGAGATGATGAATAAAGTATTTATAAATTTATAAGTGGTAACTGCATTGAAATCCTTTGGCAAAAATCTTTAATTAAAATGACAGAGCAAGTAGTAGATGCTGGAAAATCCTCTTGGAAATTTGGTATTTCTATTTCCTGCAAAATTAGCTAAAAATGTTCCTTAAAAGGTTTTATACTCCTTTACTAAACAGTTTTGTGGAAATCAAGTACCACATGTTGGAGTGTCTTTTTATTGTAAAGGTTTCTGTATTTATCGTTCTGCAGACCCTAAAACAGTTATAACCTTTACATGTAATTTACACATTTTTTTTCCTGCTGAGTTTATCCCCTAAAAATTGGTATTTGTTTCCTCTTAATACTTAAACAGTTTGTAACATTAAGTTTCTGACATTCAGGGAGAAAAAGCTGGTGTTACACTTAGTACACTTATGGTATACTTTTGGGAAATGTATTATTTAACCAACTTTTTCAAATTGTGATTAAAAAGATCAGCTAAAGAATAGCACTTTTAAGGTGGCATTCACTTTTAAAACTAGCTTTTAGAGCTAACATATATTTGTTTTCAGATTGCTACTTCTGAAAACTGTCCTTCAACTATTTGACTTAACTTTGAGAAAAAGAGAAGAGTGAACATTAGGAGAAATTTACACTGAAATAATTTCAGATTTGATCTTCAAAAAATGTTCTTCTTATTGTTTTAAAGCAGAAATACTAGGCACCAAGTAAAATCTTTGGGATTTGGGGGAGGGGTAGCGGGAGAGGAAGAAAAAAAAATAAATGAATCGTAAACATAATGTCTAGTTTTCCAATTATCTACTTTATCTAACGTCAAGACTTAGAATATCATGAACTTTTAGTGTTTGGGGGAGGGGTAGCGGGAGAGGAAGAAAAAAAAAATAAATGAATCGTAAACATAATTTCTAGTTTTCCAATTATCTACTTTATCTAACGTCAAGACTTAGAATATCATGAACTTTTAGTACAGTTCTCCTTAGCAAGTGGCAAATTGTATGTGGGTTATAGAGGAGTGAAAAATCACAGAGAAAAATGTCCTGTTTTGAGAAAGTGTTTTAATTAAGCAAAAAAAAAAAAAAAAAAAAAAAAAAAAATAAGGAAAAACCCTTTTAAAAAGCATCAGGACAAACCATTTTAAAAACAAAGTCTCCAAGCTGGGTATTGAAATTGGCAAAGGGGAAAGCAAGGAAAGTCAAGGAAAGATAAAATATTCAGAAGAAAGTCAATGCTATTTGCAATTACACGTTAGAACTCAGGATTTTGCAGGTGAAAAAGATGTTGCTTAAATATATTCATGAACCTGTGGTAAGGCTTCACTTATGCAGTCTCAGAAGATTTAGCTAGCTCTTTAAAATATGACAAAACTGAATTTTAACAAACGACATTAAAAGAGTCAGGACCGCCAACCAATTAACTGACAAAGTAGAGGCAATGTGGAAAAACCCTCTCCACATTCATTGCAGATTCGCGACTCCCCCCGCCCCATTTGCCTCCATCAGGCTAACGACCTCATTCCTCCCGTAGAGCCTGGCCAAGTCGCAGGCGGTGTCCCCCTTATGGTTCCGATGCCCCACATTGCTGGCCGTATGCTTCACAAGGAACTCTACCACCGGGAGGTGGCCTTCTTTGGCAGCAAAGTGCAAGGGCAGGTTCCCTTCATTATCTTCGATGTTAACATCAGCTTGAAACTCCAGCAAAGTCTGTAAAGTGTCCAGGAAACCTGCTCTGGCTGCATCGTGAATGACAGCGAAACCAGTTCGGTCTTTCAAATCGGGATTAGCACCTTTAAGTAGTAGTCGCCTGGCAATCTCGGGATTTCCAAGTTTCATAACCTAGAAAAGAAGTAAAAACGGTAGAGTCCTTCTAGTGCTCAGCTACAGAAATATTTAAAAATATCTATCTGTCCTTTTATTTATGCAACTTTATTTTTGATGGAGTGCTTGGAGAAGAACCATAGGATGGAGTTCGAAGGGCTCAGTTGCAGGAAAGTACTAGTAGGTAAACGTAGAAGAAAATTTCTAAAAATTGAGCTTCTATGATGGAATATTTTAAATGGGCCCCAAAGTAGGTTAAATTGATCAATAAAATAGTATTTGTGCAACTTATATAAAATTTACTGACAACTCAGTTCTCTATCTCCCATAAAGAGTTTTGCAATTTCATGACTTTATTAAAATAAAAAAATGGAATTTGGGATATAAGTAAGCATCTCCTTCTATTCGCCTGTTTATGCTCTTAAAATGTGCCTGGGGTATTAATTTTGGAAAATCAAACGTGGGTAAAATTGATTTTCTAAATGGATACTAAAAACAAATAAGGATGGTGAGTTTCTTTAAATCCCAGAACAAGTGTTTCAACACATTCAAACTCTATCACCTAGTGTAAAAGTGATCTGTTAAAAATCTAGATCTGATATTTTCTTAAATGATTAATTTTCACAAGTTTCCTGCAAATAGACATAGACTCAAATTTCCGAGTGTTTTTTAAAAATAGTTTTTCTTTGCAAGTTATTTAATATTGGGTACTAGGTGTGTTCAGTGCTTAGAATCCTACAAGTTATAAAATGTTACTGATTATTAAGGTGTTACATAAATAACAGTGTTCTACATTGCTTATTATATCAATTTATCTAAAACCAAGTTCATTATATGCCTTGTATTAGAAAGGAAATTTGTATGGCAAGTGTTCTTGAAAACAATGAAACAGTCATCCTATTATGTTACTTCACTGTTTCTCAAAGTTCTAACTAGCCTTCTGATTTTCAAGTGAGCAAAATAAGAAAAAATAAGATATTAAATGAGGGTTTTGGGACACGGACAGCTTTGTCTTGTGGTTTGAGCCCATTTAATAATCAATTGGTGATCTTATCTTATTTCCTTTTGCAGTTATTATTAAGCATTTAGGAATAGCTATTTGTAAACTGTCAAAATTTTAAAAGTCTGAATGTGGTATTAATATTTGCTATCGCATACAAATAATTCACATGACAAAGACTTATCTATTGTTGTTTGAATATATTTCACTCATAAGAGTTCTCTATTAGTCCCTCATAATTTTAAAATATCTGTAGAGCAGCATGCAAGAATAAAATATATATAATTTAGTTGTGAAAAATATTACTCTTATTAACATGCCAGAAATTTTTCAGCATTTTAACTAGCTTCATTTACATTTAGGTATATTCATAATAATCTAAATTTATAATAAATAGGTTGCATAGTAGACCTCAATCCTTATAAAATTAAATGATAATCCATTGGAAAACACATATAAAGTAGATCTCTCTCTTTAAAATGTTTGTTTTACAAGTAATCACAAATTAAGTAATATAAAACATACCTAGAATAAACATTTTATAAATGCCAAGTATAGAGATGATCAAGACATTAAGCTTCCCTGTTGTTAAAACCCTATTGACTTTTAGCCCTTCCTTTGGGGCAGTGATAAAAACGGCACATAATTTATTTTTCAAGAACTTCAATAAAATATACTTTTTGGTTATTAAAAATTAATACAATCTAATTTTTGCCACAACTGTCTCTAAAGATTCAGTCACGTTTAAGAACCTAGAATGAGGAAAATAAGAGACAGACACCTTGGATCTTTGTAAAGCAAACATACGATTAAGGCCTTTGATATTATCCTGATTGAAAAAACGTACACTAGGAAAGGAGAAAAAACTTTTACAATTGAATCAAATAAACATAATTGTAGAAGAAAATTTGCCATCTTTCATAGGAAATAATAGTAATATTGGAAATGGTTTTGAAGAAAGTTCTTTCCTGTGTTATGATACAACCTCAGACTCAGGATTATGCATACTGAAAATAAGCTTTGAGACTCCTGTTTGTGTGTGTTTCATTATATATACTGGGACTAAGCCACAATAAGTGGGTGTTAGTATCTTGATAAGTATGTTTTATATAAACAAGATTGCAGTTGTATTTATTTGTCAAAAAAAAAGTCTGTCGAAACTTTTTAAAAAATAGTATTAATCTCGTAGTTTCCTGTTCGTCCAAAGTACTGTAAAATCTTATTTTGAACATGGGTTAAATGGCTCATTCTTTGTGAGATTTATGTAATCTTTTGAGTTTTCAATAGGAAACTTTTCAATATATTAAATTTGTGGCATTTCTATGATTACTAAACCTGTACAAAACTACTAGGTGGAAAAGGAAAAACAAAATCCTTTCCCTACTTAATCTACCTGAAACAGGAAGATAAATAATTTAGTAACAATGCATAAACTTCCTTAAAACTGAAATTTTTGAAAGGCCAGTGTATTCTGATTTAAAATGTATATACTGTATGGACTTGTCTGTTAATAGTATATCTCCTGTCACTTAAATGTCTAATTCTCCTAACTGAAACAAAGCCCTCTAAAAACCCTCCCTCCAATAAGGTTTTCAAAAACAGCTTCAAGTATTGCATTTCTAAACAAGAATACCTCATAAGAATATCATCAGAACTCTGATAAAGCAACTATTTCAGACTACTTTGCCATTTTTTTCTGTTTTTAAGCGTTTCAACTAAGTTAAATGATAATATTCAGAAGAGGAAAAAAATTATCAGGTACAAATTGGCAGCTGAACATGTGTCAATTGTAGACTGTAAATTTAATTACTGAAATTAGAGCATACCACGGCAAGACCGCAGAGACAAAAACTGCAGCTGAGCTCTGATTAGAAAATACAACTTTTTATTCCTCCTCACTCCTGAATGGGTGGGTGTCATTACATTAACTGTGAAATGTACATCCTGTCCCGGTGCCGGTGCCCAGGCCACCCATTCCAAATGAGGAAAGGTCGTTTGTCAAAACTTGAAGAATTTTAAGGAAAAACACCCTTGCCAGTAGTCAAGAAAATTAACGTTAAAGTCAATTATTGGGGGCTAAGTACGTGAAACCACTAATAGCAGTGTATTTACTTCAAATAATAATCATAATAATGTGTTTACAGAGCTGTCTAAAATAAAAACAAAACAAACAAACCTCGGCGCTGCTATGACTACTTTAAAATCTCCACTGTCACAAAAACATTCCAAAAATTAAGACCAAATCTGGAACCCACTTGATATCGAGGATGTTATTGGATTTGACGAGTTTGTTCAAAGTACGTCATTCTAAGGCGTTGGATCCACTTAAAGATATAAAATATGGCAACCAACTAGGTTTAAAAACAGTGAAATTTTGTACCCCTGAAAGCTTAAAAGCTGTCATTCTAGAAACCCGGGTCACGTAGGCAACATTATTGACCTGTTTTCCCCACCTCTGGATACCAACCTGCAGCGCAGTCCTTCCAAATCCATTTTGTGCATTGACGTTTACATTATTTTGCAACAAACTAGTAAGTTGCTCTAGGTCCCCCCTGGCAGCGGCGGACGCCAACTCGTTCCCCCAAGGCTCGGCCATTCTTTAGGGTCCTGACGATCGGGAAAAGATGAATTAGTTGTTTTTCTTTTTCCCCTTTCTTTAGCTCCTAACCAGGCTGCATGATGGCATCGGAGACTGACAGAAGGGCTGGGATGGTTAATCTGGAGTAGAGCTTGGTAGTAAATACTAGTAAGATCTGCCTGCCAAAAGCCCGCCCCTCGATTCACACGTGATTATTCAGCAAAACTGAGCCATTGGAGAGGGGCTCCTCTCCTCGCTTTTTAGCTTAACCCCTATGAAGAATTCTGGTGATTCAACAGAGAGACGCACAAACGCACATACATTCCTGGTTAATTACTCCGGACGTAAGATGTAGGCAGAGTTGTCACGTACCTAAGCTATAGATCGCTGTGAGGAATGTGTGTGGAGACTTAAGGGACTAGAGCAGGGCAGAAAATACCGCAGAAGAAAAGACATGGGGGCGGGGTGGGGGGGGAGAAAAGGCATTAACCCACCCGTGCTCACGATGGTGACTTGAGCCGCGTGAGCCAGAACTGCAGGGGCAGGTCCTCGAAGGGGCTCAGTTTCCATCCGTCTCGCCGAAGGGGTAGTCCTGAGTCCTCCGCTCTGGGAGAGCGCCGCGATGGCTGGATGCTGACGTGCTCCGGGGGGTTAAAGATGATCGCCAAAGGCAAACGGGAGCAGCAGTTCTGTGGCCCTCAAGTTACAGTTCGTAACGACTCCACAGTGCTCTCAACTTCTCCAGAGGAGCCTTAGTCGTGTCTGGGCCGAGCCGCGGGCTAACGCTGAGCGGGGAGGTTCCGGAGTCCGTCCGCCGGGCTGCTGCAGCCCCGCCGAGCCTCAGAGGCCGTGGGAGCCGGGCTCGGCGCGCGTCTCCGGAGGCTGCCGGACGCGCGGCGGGCGCCCGACAACCCTGTCATGCCGGCCCCACCGAGTCCCGGGACTCCCGGCAGCCTGAGGAAGGAGCGAGCGATGAGGGAAGCGCCTATGGGACCCAGGCCGCTGGGGCAGCTCGCGGCTGCATCGCGGCTGCACAGGGCAGCCCACCGGTAACTTCCCGCCTAGGACCGAGCGAGTTCAGGCTTTCGAGTGTAAGCACTCATTGAGCTCCCTCCGCCGCCGTCCTTTCCTTCCTTTCCCGGTTTTTGGGGGGGCCTCTGGAGATGAGGAGGGTCTTGGAAAGGCAGGCCAAGCTCTGAGTATGGGGAGTCGCCACAATCCCAGCGCGCAGCCAGGCCGGCCGTCCTCTCGGCGACAGCCCTGAAGCTTCGGCGTCCTGTGCCACTTCGCCAGCCCCTTGCGGTCCCCCGGCCTGTGCCCCTAGCCTGTGCCGCCGACAGGGCAGCGGCCGTCCCCGCTGTGCCCTGGAGCCGAGCCGGGCAGCACTGCTTCCTCCTGAGCCGCAGCGTTGCCAGTGACAGTTTCTTTTGTAGCTGGTCCCCCCGAATTGCCGGTCCCTGCTTCCTTCACCCCTGCTTGAGCGTTGTCCCCCTTTCTGCTCTTTTCCTTTCCTCCCTCCCTTGCTTTTTTCGCTGAGACAATTGCCGCTTCTGTTGCCTCTGCAGAGACGGTGCCGGTTTCTTCTCCCTTTTTTCCGACCTCATCAGCTTTTTTTGAAAAGAAAAAAATTGAGCGCTTTTTGAGTTGAAAAACCCGCCCCCATTTTAACGGCAGAGTTTTAAGGAGGCTCGGCCGAGTTGCAGCGCCGCGGGAGCGGGAAGGCAGGGCACCGCCCACGCCCCGCCCTCCGCCCTAGTGGCGCTCTCGCTCGCCGCCTCGCTCGCTCGGCCCTTTGGGCCCCGCGCCCGTCTTCCCGCCTCCTCGTTCCCCGCCTCCCATCCTCGGTCTCTCGCACTGACTCCGGCCCGCCAACCGGGAGGGCAGGCCCCAGCTGGAGCGGGGTTCGGCCCGCTGAGCGGGGCCTACCTTCCTCCGGCTGGCAGGCGGGTTGGGGTCTGCGACGCGAAACCGAGGGCTGCCCCGAGCCCTACAGAGGCGGGGGCGAGGGGGTGTTGTTAATTAAGACCAATGTGGAGAGCCTTAGAGACTCGGCGGCTCGGGCTGCTGGAAGGCGGAGAGAAAGTCGGCGCAAAATTTTTCTCCAGCCCAAGCGGGGCAGGTCTGCTCGCTTCCGCGCTCCCCAGTCAGGCTCGCGAAGTTCGGGCGGCCGGGCCTGCGGCTGCAGCCTCTTCCTCCTCTGGGGCGCGCGCACTGCCGTACACTTGGCCTCCGCTCAGCCCCAGGCCTCGGCCTCGCACCTGCTAGTTAACGCCGGGGCCGCGGTGGCTGTAAGGGTAGGGGAGAGACCTGGACTGACAGTAAGCACAGTGCTCAGAACAAGCAAAAGTCTTTTACTGACTGAATTTTACGAAAACCTAAGACATGGTATAGGTAAGATATCAAGGAACTCTGAAGCCTTAATGTTCTAAGGAATAGAAACTATGAGATACTCCTTGGAGGAAAGGGAGAAAAGCAACTAATTTAAAGCAAAATTAAAAAAAAAAAAAAGCCATTGCTTTGTTGCCGAAGCTGTCTCTTTCACTACTTAGATGGGGGCTTGGTTTTGGGGGGTGGGAGGTGAATGGGGACATTGTCTAAATGTAAAGGAATAGTCTCTTCCCTAAATGTCTGTTTCAATCATCCGATCCTAATTCTCTGAACTTTTAACTTCCTCTTTTAGTTATGTGAGATTAACCACTGCTTTTTATATTTTTATTCTCTAAAAAATATCCAGTACGGTTGCATGATGCAGCCAGTGGTGAAAATGAAACCAAGCAAAAAATGACAAGTGAGATCAATTAGAAGTGGCCTGTGGCAAGCATGTCCTCAAAATCTGTACCCAGGTCTTTGAAGTATACTGGGAGTATTAGCTACAAAACACACTAGAAACATCTGGATAATCATCTAGCAACAGATTGGCTGGTAGGTAGAGGGAGAGTTGAAACTGGGGAGAGAATCTGGCAGTGTTTTCTTTAACTGGATTGTTGAGAAACAAAACAAAACAAAAAAACAAACAAAAACACCCAGAGCTCTTTCCTCAGATAACTAAACTTGAATTGCGAATCACGTGGGAACTATGACACAAGAAATTATCTCCTCTCTTTTTTTCTTACATGTGTTTAGACATTTCAAATATAACATTTAGGATTCCATTTATAACAGTAATAAATGATCATTTACTTTTGGTGATTCTGGGAACTGTGTAATCTTTTAGTACAGCTGGAGGGTGTGGTGATAAGTAGCACTGTTAGCTGATGAAGAGATAACTGGTATAAGTCCAGTTTATCAGAGTTGCTTCCTAGCATTTATTATGGTTTCTTGCTTAGAGAAAACATTGTAATGAAGAATCTTAAGTTGTACTTATTATGTAAAGTATGGGTATACATGTGTTATAATTTTCATGAAATACTTTTTGCTGAATAAATGAGTAAATAAAATTTATGGTAACTTAAGATACACACACAGCTGTATTAAGATTTTGGAGGCCCTAAACTCTGAGCAGATTTTGATATCCCTCCACCCCTACCTCATATGCAAATAAAAATAAAAATAATACAAAACCCAAAAATAAGAGTGAAAAAGTCCAACAAAGTTCTGATTTTTCCCATGATGACTATGTCTGTTGCTGAAATATTAATTTTTTTTTTTTTTTAGGAGAAAAAGCCTTTTTTATTTGCAAGTAAGGAGAACACTGGGGATAGCTCCCAAAGCAGTGTCTCCTGAAATAATGAATTCTTTAGGAAAGTTTTCTTTCTTTTTTTTTTAAATCTGGTTTTGCTGGTGCCCTAAAGCTTGTGCTTAGTCTGCCTGTTATGTAAACCAGAACTGGCAGCACAGAGGTTAGTCTTAGTTCAGAGAACATAAGTAAGTAATCTAACATTTATTGAGCACTAGTTCACTGAAGTAGATTCAAGGGTATCTCTGCCCTCAGTAAGCTTATATTCTAACATTGTGTACAAGGTAGATTCACAGTTAAGCACTCTGTTATACTGCAAGTAGTGGTTTCTCTTTTAACATAGTAATAATATGTCTCTCAAATACTGAAATACAACCTTTGTAGTTGGATATTACATACTTACAGTCATAGAAACCTTTTTCTTTAGCAGTTCATAATCATTTAAAAGGACACATCATTTATATGATTTAATCAAATTATTTTGTGCTTTTTCCTCATTGATTCAAGTATGCAGTTTCTGAATGACTACCTTTTGGAAATGTGTGTGTAGTATTTACAATTTCTTTACCTGGTCTCAAAGTTGTTGTCTTTGTTGTATGTACAGATCAACAGAGGTGGAAAACAGACTGCCACCCTCAAGGGGCCTTTTTATCACTTTGTAATTTTGGCTTTGGCATTTTATTTCTGAGATTCAATAGGCTTTTTTATAAGTGGACTCATACACTTAAGAAAGCCCTTTTGTAAAGTAAGAAAAAAATGCCCAGTAAACAACTCAAAAGCTTAAACGTAACAATTAATATTTGTATAGTGTTTCATGGTTATAAAATATGATGCATACATTATTTAATCTTTTCAACAATGTCTATGAGGTATGATAATTGTCTCCATTTTTCAGGTGAGGGAATTGAGGCTAGTAAGAGGTTGTGATTTAAAGTCAGTGAGTAGTGGACATAGGATTTGAACTCAGATCTTACGATTTAAGGATCAGCCTCTAGACCCTTAAACATCTTTCAATCATTAGATGAAATACATGTTTGCTGTTTGGTTACTTAGGTGTGTATCTAACTCTGTAGTAATATTAATCTTCTCATGAATTACATTATAAGCAAGAAGTATTGATAAAACACTTGATTATCTTAACCAAAGAATAAAGGTAACACCACCAGTAATAAGTCATGTTGATAACATGTGGCACTGATGTGATTTGACAAGGAAACATTACCTCTGTGGTATTCTTCCCTAAAATCTATTAACTCAGTGTAATTCTGAGAAAATCTTAGGCAAACCCTATTTGGGGGACATTCTATAAAATTCCCCCCCCCCCTTACAGAAGTGTTGACACTGAGAAACTGTCACAGATTGGAAGAGGCTATGGAGACATGATGACTAAATGTAATGTGGTATTCTGGATTGGACCTTGAAACAAGAAAAGGACATTAGGGTAAAAATCCAAATAGAGTCTCTAGAATTTAATTAATAGTATTGTAGCAATGTTAATTTTTTTAGTTTTGATAGATGTAGAGTGGTTATGTAATATGGTAACCTTAGAGGAAGATGGATAAAAAGTGTATAAGAACATTCTGTATTTTCTTTGGAACTATTCTACAAATCTAAAATAATTTCAAATAAGATTTTAGTAAAATAACTACAAATAAGCTTTATTATGTATAGTTGAAAGTAAGATGAAATAAAAGTTCCTTTTAAAAGATCAATGGTAAGATCAAAGAATGTGGAGATTCTAGAAAAATATCTGCATTTGAATTAGGCTGAACTCCATGAATTATTACAATGGACCAACTGTGAGAATGGGTAGGTTAAAATTATTTTTCTTTGCTCATGCTTATGGACAGAATTTCTCTACATTTCTATTATCTTGGTTTGTGACACTTAAATGAAATTGTTTCTCTTAAGGAAGGAAATCAGGAGAAATGAGAAATGGATTTTTTTTCTTCTAATTCAATATTTATTTTTCTTTCCTTCTTTCCTCTATAGTGGACAACTACTCTGGATGCTGGGTATCAAACGATGAATAAGTCATAGGGAAGAAATGGTCTGTTCAAGAACCATATAAATTTAGCAGCAT